AGATTTCATTTTTTTTTTAAATTAATATTGGTAAATTCCTAACTAAACGTGAAATGAAACGTCCATTTAACTAAATTCTAATGTTTTTGACGTTGCATCTGTCAAAATCATCTCAATATGCGTAAAATGAATCGCTAGGCCGGCCATTTTCTTGATAATGACGGATATACTTTACGTTTACGTCATTCCGTTATATCCGAGTTTACGTGAATGTGCTCCCTAACGTTTATAACCGCCTCCACCTGTTTTTCGACGACTTCGCTACCCCTCTGGGTCCTTTTTTACAAATGGTGGTAGCTATAAATTATGTTTACAATTTAAAGTAATTATATAAGTAAAATTATTTTGGTAAGAGCTAGCGAAGCGAGCTCGGGACTTAGGGACCCTGACTCGATCAAGTTAGATCAGAAGGGGATGGCGGGGTCGAGTGAGCGAGCGAATAGATCCAGCCATCTCCTTCGTGGTAATTTTTTATAATATACTCAGGAGTAGGAGCCCCACGAAGGGGCTTCCCTCAAAATGAGATTTTTAAAAATTTATAAAAAAAACACTAAGCACGTTCGGATGAGAGGTAAGTGAGGGCAACTCTACAACTCCCTCGCCTCCTTCCCCATCACGCCCCAACACCTAATTCAGGCGACATAATTTCAAACTCTACCCGATATAACTAAAAACACAGACTGTTAAGTTAGACACACACACAGGCACACATCATCGCACGCACGCACGCACGCACGCACGCACGCACGCACGCACGCACAAAAAACAACAAAATTGTATTATCTATGTACTTTTGCCATCTCATAGGTATTTCATTGATCCCTTTACTAAAAAAAACCCATGGGGGTGCGAATCAATAAACTTTTTGAAGGTGGTTTGGACTGCCGCATCGGAGTTGAATTTTTTTCTTGTAAGAAGTTGTCCGAATTCCGGAAAAAATTGTAATATTTGGCACAAGTTATAAAGCTTATTCGTTAGTAGCGCAGTACAGCAGCTGTACAAGCATAAAAGAGGCTGTATAATAGCTGTATTACAGCTGGTTTAACTAGTGTACAAGGAAACTATTGCACTACGGATATTATCTTATAAGTATCTTTTAAAGATAAGCGTTCTAAATGAGGTTTTGAAAGGAATTGTAAAGGAATCTAAAACAAAAATAACTTTATTTTCGATGACTACATTATGTTTATATACTTAACTTACTAATTTTATACTCGGATTGGACTTGAGTTTGGACGATGATTTGATAATTGGTGAATTGAAAGTGCAAAACTAAATTTACAGTAAACTTGTATATGTTTTCTATCCAAAAATTGTAGCGCCAGCTAAATAACCAAATAATATAAGGACTTAATATTAAATAAGGTAACTATTTATAAGTGTCGGTTGTATAGATATAATTAAAAAATTATGAATATGAATGCACATGGTAAAAGTAAAGGCTAAAACGAATGTTTAATATTACTAAAATTATATTTTACATTTAGTTTTTATATGTCCGAAAATGGCGACACTTTACTAAATAGCCTTAACGTCATTTCGGGGTTTTTTTAATCTTAGTATTCATAACATACGTACTAGCTGTACTACATAAGTTATGGATTCTATAATACTGCCATTGATTTTTAATCAATTGTAAGATATAATATTTTTATTACTTACGCTGTGTAGAATATTTTTAAACATAACACATAATTCGCTTACGATACGTATAAAAAATGAAAAACCTTGTCTTGGGCATAGTGTTTGATAACTTTTATTCTTTCTTCACTTTATGTCATTTTAACATTCTTTGTTCATTCATAATCTTCTAACTGCACTAAATATTTTTCTCTTTTACCACATAATGATAACAAATTAATTTTGTTCACTAGCATCTAGCACTTATACATATTTAAATTTTACTATGATGGCTGTTTTTTATTTTTTTAGTTTTAAACCACCCTTAGAGAGAAGTCATAAAAATACTGTATTTATAAAACTGGACAGTTATGTCATAAGCATAAGTTTTAGAAGGGAGTTTGCATACACCAATGTTCAGAAATAAGATTTAAATGAAACTATAATAACACATAGTGCTGTAATAAGCAAGTGACAGCACGCAAAGCAGCTTCTATACAGTTTTAATGATAAAATGAGATTGAAGCGTAACAAAATACTTGATGTTGTATACAAGTTTACATATTCTGATTAAAAACCATAAGCTTACTTATATCCCATAATACAGACTTTATATAACTTGAGCTGTATAATAACTCATAATCCATTCTTTTAAGGATACAACCCGTTTTCGACACTCTTATACGCTTCTAAAAGAACTCTAAGTTCTGTATGGACTGGTATCTTTGCTCAATGACTGGTATATAGATATTCATACCGCTTGTGTGCGCTTAGGACCTTACGTTCTGTATAGAGTTTTAAATACTTTATACCATATAAAACCACACTTATGTATTCACTAACTTATCCTACTTATAACAATAATTGGTCATGCTAAAGTGTGCAAACATCTGCATAAGTTCAAGCGCCTTCTCAATAATTGTATTGATTCATTTTTGTTTAATTGACTTACCATTCGACAAAGGCGTGGAAATGGCACTTTGTCTTTAGTTTTGTTTTAATTCATAATATACGAATTTATTTAATCACTATTATCTAAAATCTTTCATCTATGTTGTCTCTAATATTTGTATAACCTATGGTTTTAGTGAAAGTTTATTTAAAACTACGAACTGACCGCAATTATCGTTTTATTTTCTAATTGCTGATATTAGCAAAATAATTTGAAGTCGGTACAAAATCTACTAAAATTGTGGTTTAACGTTTTTAAGTCTTAAAAGTTATGATAACGTTACATCATCGTAAAATAATGTATTGTATTTGTATACATGTTTTAAATAAAGCTAATATATAGGTAGTAATTTACGCTGTTATGTAATTATAAAAATATCTTAAAAAGGTATTTAAAAAAAATTTAAAACTAATAAGTTATACTATAAACTAATAGGGTAATATTTTACCACAAAGAAATTTTCTTATCATTAATGAAAGACTTATTATATGTAAAACATATTAAAAATAGTGATGACAGGAGGTTATTTGCATTCCATAATAGGTTGTTAACATTTTTCGTAAATGCGCTTTTCTTTCATTGTTAATAAACTCGTACAATTGTTATTTTATTATTTGAATTGTTATGTGTGAGTTTCGTTGTGACAAAGATTGTTTTTGTGTGCGCAGATTTCCTCCGCGAAAAATGACAGATAGTACTGTATCAGGGGAAAAAAGGCTATGGCCGGATATATGAGCATTTGAAATGGATACTCCCCTCCGATCCGTCGGTGGCCCGTGTAGCTATTGTATCGTGTGTATATTATGATATGAAGTCTTTAAAATTCATTTTTAACAAATTTTTATAAATAATGAACTATTCTGTCTGTAATATCGAATTGACTTTTTCGTTATTTCTCTTTTTTTTAAACTTTACCTCAACACTAGGATTTTCTCCTGTATCGTGTGGCTAATTGACATGCATACATTTCAGAAGGACCAACGTTCAGACCCGGTACAATTATGTTTTGGCCATATTATGTGGTGATTATACGTGGTAGAGCCTATACCTACATAGTAAAACCACGCTGCAGCTGTATTATGATTTTGGCACGAATAGGTCTGCTCGACCGGGGAAGGACCACACTCTCGCAAAATACTAGCGTAAAGTCGCAGCTTCATGTTGCTGTGTTTCGTATGATGAGTGTAGAGAACCAAAGATCCTTTTTACTGGAAACGAGGAATACCAACTCCGTCCGCAAGGGTGACAATGCATCTGAATTTTGATTCTTAACTAAGGATGCATATGGATGTCTGTCTATGAGCCACAGAAACCACATACCATCAGGTAGACTGTGTGCCCATTTGTCACCCTTATTTTATATAAAAAAATCTAAATACTTATTCTCGAACCCGAGTATTCGAACCAGAGGCCCTTAGCGCTGTAACTGATTGCTAAGCCATTGCGCCACGGAGCTGACGAACCATCGACTGCCTTTTATTGAGTGGACAGGATGTTATTTACATGTCATTAAGACTTAAAATCCATTTGTAAAAATTTTGTCCGTATGTCTGGCCTAATCTTCTGAACCGATTGTGTTGAAACTACACTAATATATAGAGAGCAATGCCAAGAGTGATTTAGGCTATATTTTATTCAAAAAACTTGGTGTATTTTTTTAAGTTTATAAATTGATATAATTAGTGGTGATTGATGACTGTTTCAAAAATCTAAATGACCCCGAATTTATGCATAGCTTCGCGGGTCGCTAGTCAATTCTTTAATATTTTAGTACCTACTGTACAAGTCAAAATCTTTTATAAGTGTATAATGAAATACAACATGGACATACGCTAATTTATAATAGGTACTTCGTAAATGGTCAATACATATAAATATATTATAATAAAGATGCTTTATTCAAATATTTCTACATTTGCTTATTACTATTGCAATTTATTTCAATTCCATCAGTCTAAGCAATTACTTTCCTTTATGCTGAGCCAAAAGTAATCTGTCGAATGAAGGTTTAATTATAAGATAAATGCAGAAGTTAATTATTCAGGTAAAATACACATAATATTAATATGTATTTTACCTGAATAAATATAATTTTAACGCACAAGTGTAGTTTCTAATTACTTATTTTGTTATTAAACAACATAATATTATAAGAAATTGTATTTGTTTAAACCTTAATTTTATAACTTGAAATGATTCATGCGATGTTTTAAATGCTTCCGCCATTACTTTTCATAAATAAACCAATAGGCCGCTTACAGCGTCGCCAACTTCAAGTTAGTAATCGGACTGATTGCATGTTGCGATGTTGGCAGCAGTGTCGACTGTTGCAAATGGTGGATTGCGTTGCTTTTTCTCGTGCTCCGTGTGAAATATTTACGTAAATTAGTGTAAATTTCGTGGTGCAGTGTTTCTGACTTACTAAAACATGTCGGAAACACTGCCAAACAGCAAAAAACAAGTGTCGAGGCAACTGGTGAGTGTTAATTGTAAAAATTTTACGTATTTAGTCCCGAGTGACGCCATGGTGGCTTTATCTGGGATCACGTAAACATGAAATGGTGCATCACTGCATCGTGTATTGATTTGTGAAAGTTACGGAAATGAGTTAATAATTTTGTTAAAAGCCATGGAATCATAAAGACGATTGCTTCTGAGGGTCATTGGACTTGATTTTTTTCGATCACGCCGCGAGCAAGTTCAAAACGCGGCGGCCGTATGCATTCGCGCATGCGAGGAGGTGTCAAAATCTATAATAGTTTCGGAGATCGCGGCATTGTAATGTAGCGACGATGATAATGAGCGCTTCTCTTAGCGGCGCGTGAGTCAAGGACGTCAATAGAGGAGCATACCTAGTGGGCATCTGGTAGGGACGAAGGCGTTTCCCTCCCGCTGCCTGGCGGAGGGCAGGCGGCCAGGGGCGTGCGCGCTGCGACCACACGTTAAGCCCGTTTCCTCTCACATAATCTACTTTATTATTAATTTGCTGAACAATTAATATCAGACTAAGGGCAAAACCGTCTAAACATGTTGATGTTCCACAACACATTGATCACTATTCGACGCCAGATAGTCTCTTTGTTCTATTTCGTGAAGGCAGTTCGCTTTACAATTAAGTTTTATTTTTTCTTCAAGTTACTTTGCATTTGAACTTAACAATATTTCTTTGGCCTTGAAGGTGAATAATTATAACCTGATTCCATATTATTCTTTGCAAAAAAGTTTTGATTGAAAATATTCAGTGTCTTATAATCTTATTTATGAAAATAGCCTTCTTATTTTTTAGTTAAAGCCTTTCGGTCATGGACAAATGTAATTCATGATGATTTGAATTAATGAAAAATTGACATTACGCATTATTATTAGTACTTTTCAAACTAAAGATTTGCTTTTAGTTAATACATTGAAAATTAAAAGTTGAGGGGTATGCAAATGTTTCGTTTTGGATAAAATCACATAATATTTTGAATAAATAACATGACACTTTTTTGTCTGTAAAGAATGCTTTATCTCAGAAGCATTTCTCCAGTTGGGTAACCGAAGTTCATACTATTTTTGTAATTAAAAAGTAATAACACATATATATATATACATATATTGAATATTTAAATAATTTAGTATTTCTATGTAGGATGCTAGTTTATTATGAAGTAACTATAGTATATTGCAAAAATATTATGTATATACATATTTTATTTTTTCCAAAAATAATGTTTGTATACCTCACAACTTAATTTTTCAATGTGTTATATGTTTAAATTTTCAGAAAGTTTGAAATGTGTGTTTGTCACTACATAATATATATTTTAATTAAAACTATTTTGTTTTATATATCAGCGGGAGCGAAAACAACGCAAGCTGTACTCCGATGAATGGGCACTTGGGGATGATGAAGCTGAGGGAGGACGTGGATTTTCTCTTGCTGATAAACTTGAAAGTGCCAGATTTGAACACACTGGAGCAGTACTTGAAATGCATGGAACAGATCTTACTGTGTCATACTTACAAAAGAATGGTTTTACTACTCCGCTTCTGTTCAAAGAAAAAACTGGGCTGGGATTAAGGTAAGAATAGTTTTTTTAATGTTGATGTAGGTACTTCTCAAACTTTCTTTTTCATACAATTTTTTGGAGTATTTTGGGCTAAGGGCTACATATTACTTATTGTGTATGTGTAACAATATATTTTTTCCATAATTTTTTTAAAATACACTACACAGAAAAACTTGAATATTTCTTTAACTAGTATATACATTAAAGATTTGGAAAAAAATCTTTATTTGATTATAAAATGTAATCAGAGTATGTAGGATTTTTTTGTGTTTCAATAGCTGGATTAAAGTGAAGAAAAAAAATTGCAAATGAATATTTGTGTACTATGAGATTAACATTGCTAAAGATTATATATTAAAAATATGAGACAACTTTTTTATCATCATCTTCTCAAGTCCACCACTGCACATATGTCAAGAATGGATCAGCTGAATACAGCATGCATAAATAATTCAGGTGTAATAGTAATAGATAATGCCTTTGAATTGATATCATATAACTGATGATCACAGAACTTTTTTTTAGAGGGTTATGGAACAATTAAGCCGGTCTTCAGAGACAACTTAGAGTTAAAACTCAAACTTATTAAAGTTTGTGTAGCATAATGTGATCTATAATCAAGTTCTTAGAGTTTGAATTTAAAGTAAAGATTGTCTCCGAATATCGGCCTAAGACTGCGTGTTAACTTGGCTACATATTCACATATCCTCGATTTTTTTTTCCTTATATGTGCTCATAATGTTTATCTTCATCACCGAGCACGTGGTAAATCTGCACTGAATATTGCAAATCAATAAATAAAATTGTGTCTGTGCCGGCGCCAAAAGGGATCGAACGGCTACATAGGTAGGTACTAGGTACGTACGCGCGCAATATTTAATACATCATTATGAGCATAATAAGTTAGTATATATTATAACAATGAGATTGTATTTACATAGTTCATATAATTCGCTTATTATATGAACTTTCGAGTGTTTAAAAATTATATTTCCCTGTTTTGTAATTACCGAGAAAGATCGAGTTTTGAATTGGTCAAAACGTTCAAATTTATAAGACGGATAATATGTTTTCTTTTAAGGCACGTAGCACGTTCAGATTGTCACCATGGCGGCAAACAATTGTTGTTTTTAATTCCGTTTCTAGAGCAAGCGTGAATTGTGCACGTAATTTACTTTATGTGAATCGATTAATTCATTAACAATGTTAAACATTGATTATGGATATAAAGAATAAATGCCTGGAAAATTGTGAGCTTTTCGACAGATGGTGATAAAACTACCGTTACCAAATACAACATTGAAAAGCCCTGACAAACAAGCTGATTTCCATAGAAAAGTCCTGACATTTTGTTGCAAACGTAATTCACTACTGTGGAAAAAATAAATCAATTATTGGTTTTGTATACTCACGAGATCAATCCATGTCCAAAATTCCATCCCTTGCACGTAAAACATCTACTCTATTTTATTGAAGTATGGAAAAAGCCTGATACTTTAAAAATCGGACCGCAATCCTGACCAGAACCCAAAGTCCTGACATGACAGGACAAGTCTTGACTTATGGTATCTCTATTTAAAACTATCTATACTAGAATACACCATGCAGATCCCATTGTCGTACGAGGTATTAACCGCATTTTATTACACCATTTTATTAATTTGAAGTGCCAAATTGTGATAAATAACATGACACTTCTTTATCTGTATTAAAGAATGCTTTATCTCTCAAAAGCATTTCCTCTAGTTTGGGTAACCGAAGTTCATACTATTTTAGTAATTAAAAAGTAATTGCCTGCAATTTTTTTGTGTGCATGATTATTACATCTCGTATACGAGAGATCATATCGCCGATTTTTTTGAGGTAATGAAATCTATGGCAGTTTCTATTATTTTTAATTAATTCATTACAGCCTGCCAAAGTCCAATGTTGTACATAGGCCTTCCCAAAGATAGCTTTGTAAAGAGGATATTTGCCACAGCTGCCACGCTTGGCAGACGACTTGGCAATGGCAGTTTTTTCTTTTCTAGTTGCTATAAAAAGAGACGCCGTACAACTTCTGATTTGTTTCCCTCAGTACGATATTAGGTAGTGCATAATCTAACAGCATAACTTCACAATCAGGACGCAATCGGTGCATTAATTACGTTTCACAAATATTTAGATTAAAAGCTTATAACAAATACATTCCATCTTAGTCCTCAGGGGTGACAACGCATCTGTGTTTTAATTCTTAATCGAGGATAAATGTAGTTGTCTATGGGCCACAGCATCCACTTACCATCAGGTGGACTGTGTGCCCGTTTGTCACCTTTATTCTATAAAAAATGCCATCTGACCTTGGATTTTTGATCCTTCAATTTGCATATCTGCGAACAGCAATAATCTCTACTAAGCGTTTCTTTCACAGTCGATGTAAGTATAAAAATACATCGACTGTGAAAGAAACACTAAAAGTACTAGCCTTGATATAACAAGCCTAAATGTAACGAATTCATCGATTTAACGAATTTTTCGAAATCCCTAGAACGCCCGTAAGAGCTAATGCAAAATATACCTTTACTAAATTACATAATTTTATTTCATTAATAACTTTTAATACGTTACGAATACATTTATCGAAAACCTTTTTATAACGTATTTTTAATCATTGCAGAATACAAAAAATAGAAGTTATTATTTACCTCTACCTCTCTTCCACAATAAATTAAGTCTTGACAGGTTCAGACACGTTAAATTCTAAGTACTTAATGTTGAGGTTAATATTAAGTTTTTCTTACCTTGTTACAACGAATCGTAGTTCCAACTAATCTCATATAACGAATTGTTTGGTGTAACGAATATTTTCTTATTCCCTTCAGTTTCATTATGTTAGATTGCACTGTATATTGTTGGTTTATTTTAATTGACAAGGACGATTCAAAGGGGGTGAGAAATCGATCTAGCTAGGTCTAATTTCTAGGAAAATTTATTTTCCGTGTGTCGTCATCACGAATAGCAAAAATTTTACTTGTCCGCGCAAGTTGATTGGTAATTTCGTTATCTAGGCCATCTTCTCAATATCCTATTGACTTGAGTACGAGTTCAAATCCTGCAATGTAATCCAGTATTTTTTTCCCTTAACATGGGACCACAGTTGAGCAAAAATAAATAATTATTGACTAATATTTTGCTTGCGGAGTTACATATTAGTCCAGTAATTTAAGCTTAAATTAGGTAAGAATCTCGGAATTCGAGATACCCAGCAGTAAGTCTGTAAATACTTGTATATTGACACCCTAAAAGTTGTCTCAAAACCTACATATGGTACGCAACTATAAAATTTCAAGGTCAAAAGTCCCCTTTCCTGCATTCGCATCGCGAACCACAACCACTCTTGCAGTTGCTGAAAATTGTATTTAGCAAATCTTCTGGAGCAGGTGGTAAAATTGTCATGATAGGCTCCAGAAATTTGTTTCGCATTGCCCAACCCCATACCTGCGGTTGCAAATCATACCCTAACCCTAACCAAGTTTGAACTTGATAATATACACGATTGAAATGTTGATGAGCAGCTGCACTTGTTGGTGGAATATTTGAAAGCTGTAGAGGTTTATTAAGTTTTGTAGACTTGACGTAATGCATATAACGAAGATGATCGAGACTTTTCACAGATTTCGGAGCATTATAGACTGCCAATAAGGTTTGAGTTCCACTCTCTAAGAAATTTCATGAAGAAAATGATAAAATATAATATAATAGTTAATAAAAATTGACAAATATTTATAATCATTGATTAATAGATAGTTCATCAACTATATATGGCGCGTTTTCGACCGGAGGCACCGGTTGACCTGAAGTGATGCTGTCACCGCGCGCTCTCCGCCCTCTATCTCGAAAACGGTTCACGGTTTACAGAAAAAACGCAAAAGCCGATTTTTGTGACCTTTGCCCTTCACATTTAATAGTTGCGTACACCCTACCACATGTAGGTTTTGAGACAAATTTTAGGGTGTAAATGTGCAAGTATTTACAGACTTACAGCTGGGTATCTCGAATTCCGAGGTGAACTTACTATAATGATTGGACTATATATTTTTTTGGTGTTATGTGTTTTTATGGTCAGTTCGAAAAATGTTTGATTACAGTATTTTTACAGAAAATCATACATTTTATATTAATAATATAAAAAGAAAAAATATATAACAATGTGTATTTATATGTAAATGGTTTCTCCATAACGGCTCTAAAATTTGAATAAAATTTTGTTGTTTTAATTCACAATTTTTAAATATTATATTTTTAACACTACTTTAAACACTTCTAACACCAAGCAAATTTTTGTTCAGTTTTTTTTTGTTTAGTTCAGTTTAAAGGTAAGTTTTTAAGTTAAGGCGTTACGACGAACTTTTTTTAGAGTTTGTTGCAAAGACTGAATTGATTGCTTCTTGCTTTTCTTTTCAAATTGCATTACATAACGTTTAAAAGTTAATCTGCGCGCCACGCCACTCTTGATTCGGTGTTCCACGTTCCAAACTCAAACTTGTTATTCCAACTGAGCGACGCGACGTGATGAAAAGGTGGAAGATACAGATGTCATTTATTAGACAGATAGCAAGCAATTGAATTTTTCAATCATTCGATAGATTTTATTTGAGGTATAACTCGACTACCTAAGAATAAGGAACAAATGTTAGATATATTTGTACCTAACATTTGTTAACAAATGTACCAATATGACCATGAAGGTTAGAGAACAGGAGAACGATCGCCGTAGAAAATAGTGTCCCAGAAATATGGACACCAACACCATCAGTGAGGCGCTGCGATCGCTAAGTGCAGTCAATAAAAGTCATTTTCAGTCTATTTTTCCGATCAGATGCTTAACCACTTGCACATCCACGCACAATAAAATATTTCTCCATTTTTTAATGTTTCTTTTTGTCAAAAATTACAAAATTACGGAGCATGAAAATTTTCTACGAAAAAATGAATTGAAAGTGTGTACATTATTCAACTAACTTCGCCTACTT